CAATAAGCAAGTCTTATTATTATTACAAGGTTCAATTAAAAGTAAACTACCAATGATGGGTACAAATATATATATATTACAAGCCAAACATAAGCATATCCTTCGCCATGACCAAGCCTAGCTAGTAACGGTGCCCACAACAAATTTTAGAAGTGATTGTGGCCAGAACCATTGAATGGAGGGAAAGGAAAACCACCATTCTCATCACTTGGATTGTATAAATATGGATCACTTCCACCAACATTCTCATAACCACTTGCACCTGCACGAGTAAGGTTAAGTCATTGCCACTGATTTGTTGGAAGAAAAAGTTAAAAAAAAGAAGAAGATTAATTACCAATACCATTTGGATCATGAAGAAAGGGGTTTGTTCCATAGGCTTCGTAGTTGGCACCGAAGGGAACTTCAGATACGTTACTCCCACTTGCATAAGTAGGATATGGATTGGCTCCATTCATTTGGTCTATGGGAGGCAAAGATACAAGAAAAAGTTATCATTTCCACATAAAATTAGAATAAAAAAACATGAAATAAAATCATTTGACATCATTAATTAAAGCTAAGGCAAAATTATAATTAGAAGAGAAGAGCACTTACCATGAGAAGTACCCCTTCCATACATGATTGAAATTTCATTTTCTAATTTATCTTGGAGTTCCCCAAAAGTTGGCTCCATTTCATTGTTTTGTTCGGTACTAAGGTCTCGAATATTTTTTGACCTCAAAATGCCTTTTAGTTCCTTCTCCCGTGCTTTTGCAACGTAAGTTTGGTCCTGAAGTGCATCACTTTTAAGATTGAGTTGACCTATGTCCACATTTTGGTGATCCTCCACAAGATTATGATAGATGCCACGTTCAGAAGAGAGTTCTTCATTTGAACGAGACCTTGTCATTGACTCAAAAGAAGGATCCCCATAACAAAATGATTTCCCCGTCGGAGAAAACATGAGTATATCCACGTTTGCCCCACAAAGCGTTGTTATCTCTGTGGCCTTCTTCTGAAGGCCAGATTTTCTCTTTGTGAAAGTAACAAAGAGATCTTTTCCATTCTCAATTTTTTTTATATCTCTCTTCTGCTTGCCTTTTGTTTTTTTACCCTCCATTCTAATGAATACTAAGAGATGATGAGTAAGGAAGCTCTGCACAATATTGAGTATTCACTTATAATCTTATTAAGGACAGGTATTTTTCTTCTAGTATTCAAGGCTTTGTATTTTGGGGTATATATATGATACCTAGGCTAGGGGTGGGCGTGGGGATGGGAGATGTAAGAAAAATTATCGACTTAACCCTTAAGTTTTGTATTTGGTTATTGGGTTTTATTATTCTCCTTTTACATAAGATAGTTATCTTATGTTGTAGAGAGAAAATAAGTGAGTCCCATCATTACAAGAAAAAAAAAAAAGAAAAAAAAAAAGATGAGGTGCAAAAATCGAAGTGAGAGAGAATGAGAAAAAGTTGTCTTATGTAAAAGGAGAGTAATATTTCCCTTGGTTATTTATTAAAATCACATTTTGATGATGCAGCATTTTTTGTCTTTAGATGTTTTTATAGACTTATAATACACAATATAATTAAATGTGTTGTTTTTAAATTTATTTTGCTGCATTAATATTTTTATAATTTTCTAGTAAAATAAATTTAGAATTTAATTTTAATTCAAGGGTTTGAATTGTCTCATTAATTGAAGAATCTGATGCATTTGATACTTGTCATATTATTTTCAAACAAAATCACTGGTCCTACATAAATCCAAAATTTTCTTAATTAACATTCTTTAATGATAAATGACTTTTACATTTTGCCATAAATTTTCAATAAATTTATTGCTCAAAGAAATTTAATAGTTTATTAATGAGCTATGCCATTGCAAGGACTCAAAGGAGATTACACAGGAAAAAAAGGGAGAATTCATTAATTATCCATGGCTTTAAATGATATTGAGAAATGCAAATCCCATGTATATCAAAAAATTTACCAAAAAAGTTCATAAACCCATGTGATTTTCTCTTTTCTCACTTCCACCTCTATGTCTTTTTTCTTACCAATTATCCCTTATGATTTTATTCCATCCAAGTTCATCCTTAACATTATTAGTAACCGAACTAACTTGCATATTTTATCCCTATTTTATTTGTTAATTAATCTGATATAAAAATTTTGGGCACCAGAAAGTCTAGGTTCATTATAAAGATATAAAGAACAATCATGTATCCTGTCCTTTTCAAAGGTTTCACATAATAAACAAAATATCCCTAATAAAAATCACAAAAAATGTTGACATTTGGAAATTTGAAAGTAATCACATTTAAACAAATGGATCTTTCTTTGATTATTCCTGAATCAATCCCCAATAGTTTGGCAAGCGACTATAGTTTTATTCTTTTTATGTTATCATAACAATATTATTTATAAGCCACTTATATTATTTTCTTATAATTATATACTACTTTTACATTTTGCCATAAATTTTCAATAAATTTATTGCTCAAAGAAATTTAATAGTTTATTAATGAGCTATGCCATTGCAAGGACTCAAAGGAGATTACACAGGAAAAAAAGGGAGAATTCATTAATTATCCATGGCTTTAAATGATATTGAGAAATGCAAATCCCATGTATATCAAAAAATTTACCAAAAAAGTTCATAAACCCATGTGATTTTCTCTTTTCTCACTAACACCTCTATGTCTTTTTTCTTACCAATTATCCCTTATGATTTTATTCCATCCAAGTTCATCCTTAACATTATTAGTAACCGAACTAACTTGCATATTTTATCCCTATTTTATTTGTTAATTAATCTGATATAAAAATTTTGGGCACCAGAAAGTTTAGGTTCATTATAAAGATATAAAGAACAATCATGTATCCTGTCCTTTTCAAAGGTTTCACATAATAAACAAAATATCCCTAATAAAAATCACAAAAAATGTTGACATTTGGAAATTTGAAAGTAATCACATTTAAACAAATGGATCTTTCTTTGATTATTCCTGAATCAATCCCCAATAGTTTGGCAAGCGACTATAGTTTTATTCTTTTTATGTTATCATAACAATATTATTTATAAGCCACTTATATTATTTTCTTATAATTATATACTACATTTTTAGGTGAAAATTGTAGGAACTGTTGAATTTATGCGGAAGCGATTTAGGACCTAGTACATTGGTATGCTTACTGAATCATCTTCGTTTCACAATTACCTCTTGGTGCGCAGATCTCGTGTAGAATCTTCCCTTGTATGATTCCTCTTCACGAACTGCTCACCTCAGCGCCGCAACACGAACAACCTCCTTGAAGCTGCTGGACTGTGGCAGATCTTCCAGACTATGTCTCAAGAAAAAATGAGAAGTGTGTGGGCACTCTCTCACTTTCAGTGAGATGACCTTACCTCAGCCTCTGCAACCACTAAGCTTGAAGACCAGAGAGACTGATGGCTATAAGTGTAGAATATATATGGGACTATAAGTGTAGAATATATATGGGTTCCAAGAAACTCTAGTCCTAAGCAGAACGAGCTTTAGGTTTCTTGGACTTTTCTTACACACTAGACCCTATTGGGTTTTAATGAAAGAGCAAAATCCAACAATCTCCCGCTTGCTCTTGAGTACAAACTTGAGCCCAAAGCCCAAGTCCATGTATCCCACTAGTCGTCATCAACTAAAATTGTCCCATCCCTTATCTTGAGCCAGCCTGGTGATCTACCATATGTTATTAATCAAGGCTCTTGATAATCAACGAATGATTATCTAATTTGGTGTTATTCTACTAAAAGCCCGAACTTGAACTCCAAGATTAATAACACGAATATGCATCGCCCCTTTGTAGAATGTCTATAATTGATTGATAAATTTTCTGTAACTCAATCAATTATTTATTCCCTTGACTATGATAGTTTCTCTAATGGATTACATGCACTGGCCAGTGTCTTCAATATCCAAGTACCGAAACATATCAAGGGGACATATCCTACAAATTCCATGTTGTTTATCTCATAAATATCGATAATCAAACAATCTCACTCCCAAAATACCGAGTTATTGGCCATCAATAGATCAAACCTCACTCGTTGGTAAATCAAAGAATGAAAACTATTTGATTACCTATTTATAATAAACTCAGGATTAAGAGCAATCACATAACTATAGTTAACTGGAGATTTGATACCTTATGACAGAAAAATAACCTTAATCAAATCTCTCCTTGATCCTTTCAATGTGAATGTTAATTCACACCAATATTTTACAATGATTCGGACAAAACTATTTCATAAAATATTGCAGACTAAAATTCAACTTTGATATGCAATGACATATTAAGCAACTAAACTTTTAACTGAAACACTCATTCAAAAATTAAGACAGTCAATGTAATTCACATTGCTAAATATTTAGTCATTGGACCCATTATTAATCTTGCATATATATATATATATATATATATATATATATATATATATATATATATATATATATATATATGGGTCAGGATATATATATATATATATATATATATATATATATGATCTGTTCTGCCCGAAAGAGACTGGTCTCGTATATATCTTCTACAGTTATCGTAATTAAATTATCCTTCCCCTATTAAAACGATAATCCTTTCGTATAATATGCACATTGATTCACATAAATAAACTCGTTTAGAGCTTTTAGTCTTGTTGTAATAACTGATATCCAAACCAATACGAACTTCAATGCTTTCTTTTCCTTTAATTTCTCTTTAAAAATTGATACCTTTAGCTCTATTTGCTAATATTTTAACAAATTATCGATTAAAACTTCAGGTCTCATTTTAAGAGTAAGGAAAAGTTGATTACAGCAAAATAGGAATCCATAATATATATCTCAAAGCAAGTCTTATTATTATTTCAAGGTTCAATTGAAAAATAAACTACCTATAATGGGTACAAATATATTACAAGACAAACATAAGCATATCCTTCGCCATGACCAAGCCTAGTAACGGAGCCCACAACAAATTTTAGAAGTGACTGTGGCCAGAACCATTGAATGGAGGGAAAGGAAAGCCACCATTCTCATCACTTGGATTGTATAAATATGGATCACTTCCACCAACATTCTCATAACCACTTGCACCTGCACGAGTAAGGTTAAGTCATTGCCACTGATTTGTTGGAAGAAAAAGTAAAAAAAAAAAAAAAAAAAAGATTAATTACCAATACCATTTGGATCACTAAGAAAGGGGTTTGTTCCATAGGCTTCGTAGTTGGCACCGAAGGGAACTTCAGATACGTTACTCCCACTTGCATAAGTAGGATATGGATTGGCTCCATTCATTTGGTCTATGGGAGGCAAAGATACAAGAAAAAGTTATCATTTCCACATAAAATTAGAATAAAAAAACATGAAATAAAATCATTTGACATCATTAATTAAAGCTAAGGCAAAATTATAATTAGAAGAGAAGAGCACTTACCATGAGAAGTATCCCTTCCATACATGATTGAAATTTCATTTTCTAATTTATCTTGGAGTTCCCCGAAAGTTGGCTCCATTTCATTGTTTTGTTCGGTACTAAGGTCTCGAATGTTTTTTGACCTCAAAATGCCTTTCAGTTCTTTCTCCCGTGCTTTTGCAACGTAAGTTTGGTCCTGAAGTGCATCACTTTTAAGATTGAGTTGACCTATGTCCACATTTTGGTGATCCTCCACAAGATTATGATAGATGCCACGTTCAGAAGAGAGTTCTTCATTTGAACGAGACCTTGTCATTGACTCAAAAGAAGGATCCCCATAACAAAAGGATTTCCCCGTCGGAGAAAACATGAGTATATCCACGTTTGCCCCACAAAGCGTTGTTATCTCTGTGGCCTTCTTCTGAAGGCCAGATTTTCTCTTTGTGAAAGTAACAAAGAGATCTTTTCCATTCTCAATTTTTTTTATATCTCTCTTCTGCTTGCCTTTTGTTTTTTTACCCTCCATTCTAATGAATACTAAGAGATGATGAGTAAGGAAGCTCTGCACAATTTTGGGTATTCACTTATAATCTTATTAAGGACAGGTGTTTTTCTTCTAGTATTCAAGGCTTTGTATTTTGGGGTATATATATGATAGCTAGGCTGGGGGTGGGGATGGGAGATGTAAGAAAAATTATCAACTTAACCCTTAAGTATTGTATTTGGTTATTTATTAAAATCACCTTTTGATGATGCAGCATTTTTTGTCTTGAGATGTTTTTATAGACTTATAGGACCTGTTTGGAGCACCTGATAAAGAAGATAGAATATGATAACTTATCTTATCCTACTTCTATCTTTTGTTTGGTGGGTCAATAGGATATGATTAGCTTATCCTATTGTCTCATTTTATTCTATCTAATACATGATTTCTTATCGTATGGGGGGAGCTGGGTTAGGAGTCAACAGAATAGGATACCAATATTGGATAGCCAATATATCCCAACGCTACCCAATATATTTGTATTTATTGCATTATATTTTATTTTTTCTCTATTTTTTCTCCTTCTACATAATCTTATCAGATTGCTAATCAGGTGCTCATCAAACACAGGACATGATATAGACTTATCAGCCTGATATCATATTCTACCCTTATCAACCCCATATCATATCTTACTCTTATCCTATCCTGTCCACCAAATGAGCCCATAGTACATAATATAATTAAATGTGTTGTTCTTAAATTTATTTTGCTGCATTAATATTTTTATAATTTTCTAGTAAAATAAATTTAGAATTAAATTTTAATTCAAGGGTTTGAATTGTCTCATTAATTGAAGAATCTGATGCATTTCATACGTGTCATATTATTTTCAAACAAAATCACTGGTCCAACGTAAATCCAAAATTTTCTTAATTAACATTCTTTAATGATAAATGACTTTTACATTTTGCCATAAATTTTCAATAAATTTATTGCTCAAAGAAATTTAATGGTTTATTAATGATCAATGCCATTGCAAGGACTCAAAGGAGATTACATTTGAAAAAAAGCGAAGAATTCATTAATTATCCGTGGCTTTAAATGATATTGAGAAATGTAAATCCCATGTATATAAAAAAAAATTAGGAAAAAGTTCATAACCTTGTGTGATTTACTTTTTTTTATCACTTATACATCTGTCTTTTTTCTTAGCAATTATCCTCTATATATGGTTTTCTCGAACCGGTCGAAGTATTTGGTCACTGGCTCAACCGAATTTACTGTTCACATATTAAAAATATAAAAATATTACTTATATTAATAAAAATTCACATAAGAAAACTATCAATGAGTTTCAAAATATAAAATGATTTTCAATGATAGCAAATATTATATACTTCTAAGCTTCTAACTCTAGCCCATATCTTCATATTAGATTAAAATTGCAAATATAAGTTAAATGCACCTTTTGTGCTTGACATGATACGGATAAATTAAATCATGTTAACAAATAGTATGCATGAAATATGCACTAAGAAAAAAGTGTCACCGTTATCATGATAACAAATAGTATGCATGAAATATACACTAAAAAAAAGTGTCCACAGTTGAGATGAGATCATGAGACCATCAGTGTTATCACCACTTAACTTCATGAGATCATTATAAGATGCAACTAAATTACATAAACGAACTACACTAATCTAAAATACCTTATTATTTTCACCTTACTTTTAATCATATTCATCATAAAATATGAATATGATTTAATTCAAGAGTTCTTATCAACAAAAAATAAAATTACCAAAAAAGAAGAAGAAGGAATAACCGGTCTAACCCGGGTCAATCGGGTCACCGGGTTTCGGCCGGGTCAACCGGTCCAATCCGAGTTGACTGCAGAAGCGGTCCAACTATCCGTTCGGATCAGGGAACCCTCCGGGTCACCGAGTCCCGGGTCGACCCGGCCGATCCGAGGCGGGTTTTAAAACACTAGTTTTATTTCATCCAAGTTCACCATTAACATTATTAGTAACAAAACTAACTTGCATATTTTATCCCTATTTTATTTGTTAATTAATCTGATATAAAAATTTTGGGCACAAGCTGCAAATAATCAAAGTTTAGGTTCATTATAAAGATATATATAAAGAACAATCATGTATCCTGTCATTTTCAAAGGTTTCACATAATAGACAAAGGGATTGATTTTTCTCATGTTACATGAGATAATTTGAAAATCACAAATTTGAAAATGTTAACATTTGAAAATTTGAAAGTAATCACTTTTAAACAAAGGGATCTTTCTTTGATTATTCCTGAATCAATCCCCAATTGTTTGCCAAGCAGCTATAGTTTTTTTTTATGTTATCATAACAATATTATTTATAAGTCACTTATATTATTTTCTTATAGTTATATACATTTTTAGGTGATAATATATATGGAAAAGTATTTTTACAGTCACTTTTAGATAAGTTTGTCTACAGGCTACAGCTATCCCTTTTAACTAAGTATGACCGGTCATACTTAGTTATAACAATAAAGTTATTCTTTTTTTTCTCTCTCCTCAGACATTGTCGGGTGACGTGGCGGAGAGAGAAAATACAATTTTAAAGTATGACCGATCATACTTAATTTCAAAGGGATAGCTGTAGACAAGGGTATCTAAAGTGGCTATAGAAATATTTTTCTCATATATATATATATATAAACATTTTTTCCATTTTTGAACATAAAAAATAAAATAAATCATGTAAAACAACATGGTGTATAGAAATCATTTCTCAAAATATAATGTTAATATTGAATTGTATATCTTGGGGCCAATGATCTCTGATTGCTTTTTTTTTTTTTTTGTGTGTGTGTAGTTGATGTGATTTTCTTTATTTTGTCACATTTAGCTATAAATTGCCTCGTGTTAAATTTTACAGGCCCCCCTTCCAACAACTGTTGTTCTCCTATCTGTTTTTCACCATTTTCATTTTTAGGGTCAGATTTTATTTTTGATAAACAAAAATTTAAACATAAAATAAAAGTAAAATGTAGTTTAATTACTAACCGTATCAAAAGTGGACTTGGATAAAAAAAAATCACAGAGAGTAATTAATAAGTGTGGGGGTGGGGGGGGGGGGGGGGGGGGGGGGGGGGGGGGGGGGGGGGGGGAGAGGTTATCAACTTTTCCCAAAAATTATTAACATTCTCTCAAATCATATTCTGAAATGACACGTGGCTTTTTACATTTTATCTTGTATTTTAAGCAATTTTATTTCATGTGAGCCTGTAGTTAATGACAACTCAAAATATATTCTTTAGAGACGCTTGAGGTAAGACGTCATTAATACAGCCATTGCAAGGATTAAATGAAATTATGTAGAAAAAAAAATGGAAATCATTAATCTATTACATAATATGCTTGGATTTGCTTCTTCATTTTTTTTGAAAAAATTTCCTTTTATGTTTCACTTTGTTTAGTAAAGAAAATTTTCTTTTTGGATTTTTTTAATAAGAGAAGAGTATTTGTCATTTTAAATGACATAAAGTTATGTCATGTTAACAGAGAGATAGACACAAAATAATTTTTTATTTAAAATTTAAATTAAAAAAAATCATCCACTTTCTTCCTATAATTTTCATTTCTTGTGTCTATCTCTCTCCTAAAATAACATAACTTTATGTCATTTAAAATAAAGAATCATTAATTTTTAATGATTGTGTACATTTATTATGTTTCACTAGAGTAAATTACACTCTCAATCTTAACCATTGATCTCAGTTATATCTAAGGACTCTAATTTTTTAGTATAAGTGAAACAATAATTCAAAAATTAAGAAAGTCAATGTAATTCACACTCTTGAATATTAATTTAGTCATTGGACCCATCTCATATAAATCTTTCATATATATGATATATTCTGTTCCAAAGTGACTGGTCTCATGTATATCTTCCATGGAAATGGATCCTCTCATGTGGAAAAAAAAATGATATGGTCATGTGAGAAGATCACAACCATACAAAGATAAATCAACGGTTATAATTTTGTAATTATTTATTTTAATATTTTTTTCTCTCCTCCTTTATTATCATTGATCCATCTTTGTATGGTTATGATTCTCCACATGACATGGTCATGTGAATTTTCACATGAGAGAATCCAGATCCATCTTCCATAGTTACCATGATTAAACGATCTTCCCCCTTTTAAAGGGTAACTGTTTCGTGTAATATGCATATTGATGCACATAAATAAACTCGTTTATAGCTTATAGTCGTGTTTTAATAACTGATACTCCTAAGGTGTGCATGACAATCATTCTGTTCCCTGACTGTTTCTAAAAAAAAGGTTTGCTTTTTCTGCAGTTACTGTAGATAAGTTATCTGCAGTAAGCCCAATACGACATCGTTTTGGGACGAAAATCATGGTGTTTTTGTAATTTTAATTTATTTCAAGGTTATAATAATCTTTATATTTATAATTTTTAAGATTTAAATACCAAAACGACGTCGTTTTGGGAATAAATGCAGATAACTTATCTGCATTAACTGCAAAAATATTTTTCCCAAAAAAAATTAATTTTTTTCTATTTTTGTGCCTTGGAACAGTTTCTGAGAAAAAAATGTGTTTAATAACATGTGCAATTTTTATTCTGAGAATGAGAATTGTGTTTGATAACACAACAAATAATATAATAAAAAATAATTCCTATTAAGTATAATTTTTTTTCAGATCATCACTTTCCTTTCTATATGGTGTGGTGGTGGCAGCGTAGTGGTGGTAATGGTGGTGATGGTGGCAACAGCAGTAATGGCGATAATGGTGGTGGCGTGGTTATGGTAATGGTGGTGGTTGTGGTAGTGACGGCAGTGGCTGTGGTGATGGTGGCGGCATAGTGGAGGTGGTAATGGTGGCGGTGGTGGTAATGGTGGCGGTGGTGGTGGTGATGGCAGTGGTCGCGACGATAGTGGTGATGGTTGGTGGCGTGGTAGTGGTGGTGACGGTAGTGACTGCGGCAGAGGTGGTGGTTGGTGACGGTGGTGGTGATGGTGTTGTGATGGCAGTGGCTGCAGCTGCGGTGATGATAGTGGTGGTGGTGCGGCATGGTGTGGTTGTGACAGCAGTGACTGCGATGGTGGTGGTGGTTGGTGACGGTGATGGTAGTGATGGCGGTGATGGTGATGGCATTGGTATAATGATGGTGGTAGTGGTGGTTTATGTGTGGTAGTAGTGGCATGGTGGTGGTGGTGATGGCAGTAGCTGCGGTGATGGTGGTGGTGGTGGTTATTGGTGATGGTGGTGATGGCAGTGGCTGCAGCGATGGTGGTGGTGATGGCGATGACGTGGTGATGACATGGTAGTGGTACGTGGTGATGGCAGTGGTTGCGACGATGACGATGGTGGTGGTCGTGACAGCAGTGGCTGCGATGATGGTGGCGATGATTGGTGACGGTGGTGGTGATGATAGTGGCAGTGGCAGTGGTGGCAGTGGTGATGTGTAACACCTCGTATATATCCGGTAATGTTATCATACTATCGTATTAAGCTGCGCTTAATTAAAAATGCGGAATTTCTTTTTCTTTTCAATTATGATGTCATTAATCATTACCAACCTGATTACTTAACCATTTTCAAAACATCGTCTGTATGTATATTGCAATAAACAGCTAACTGGAAATACCTCATCAATTAATTAACATAAGTATGTCTCTAGTCACGGAACTACCACACATAGACCGGACCCACTAGCAGTTTATACAACTCAACTCAAAAGTACTAACAACATGGTGGCATGGACAACTTCCATGCTCACCCCAAATAAGGCAACAAAGCCCAACAACATCAGTCTCAACAACAACAACATAAGCATATAAGTGCAGAAAACATAAACAGCATCCAAATCCAGCATTCATACAGGTCAGCATAACTAACAACAATATCATCAACTAAGCTATGGCCTCCTGCCGCCAGAGGCATCAGTCCCCATACTACCTGAACCTAAAATAAGCATTCCCCAAACGTGGGGTGAGATCTCTAAACAAGAAATCTCAGTAAGGCAAGGGGTCCTCAAAGATCTTCCACCCCAAGCTCACTTACATGTGCAATATAAGTTCAAAAGCAGTTTATCATCATCAGTTCTAAAATAGTGCAATGCAGCAGATAATCATGTCATGTGTGTCAATTCTATTCTACTGGCCAGAGAAATGCAGGATTTATATACGTCTAATACCCACAATTAGTGCAAGACGTTACTTGCATCCACCCCGGATCACCGTCTTGTATGACGCCACATACTCGGGCTTACCGTCAAGATGGAACAACACGTGCATATTAAAAGCCATTACATATAAAGCTCAACAACATTTCTATCCAAAGCATCTAACACAGCATGCATATAACCATACCCCAATGGGACATGGTGGAACCACAACATGGCTAAATCGAGGACACGAAAGTTTACCTTGCAAGCTAACACTCCAAGCCAAGAGTCCAACCAATCCTCAAAGTTCAAATACAGCAGAATCACAATCTGATATGGACCAATAAAAAATCAATAAACATGCACTACAAGCATACATCATAAAGACAACGCCTTTCTTACGTTTTACCTCTTAAGGCTTCTCACCAAGCCATAAGCCCTTAATCCATTAATTCTGACTTAGTTCGATTATTACAGAAGTTCAACTTCATCAATCTAGGGTCCACAAACCCCCAATAGCCTACTGTATGAACAGTACAGCTACTGTTCCTCGCAAACTCAGAATATCCAGATATTTGTCGGGGGCATATCCGGATATCAATATCCGGATATCACTCTGCCAATATCCGGATATCCATATCCGGATATCTAGATCCCCATATCCGGATATCCATATCCGGATATCATATCCGGATATGCATATCCGGAAATTTCGCGACAGAATGCAGTTTTACATTTCGCGAGATATCCTTCCCAAAGATGGCTCATTTCATGCATCCAGAAGCTTAAACATGCGATTTAAGGTGTGTTTAACAATACCCAACGTTAAGTTATCAACTTTAATCCATTACATGCATAAAGGTTCCATCTTTAAGCATTAAACTCATGAACAAAGGTTGAGTATGTTTACCAAGCTTCTCAAAACAGAGAATGGCAGTGAAAAGAAGCTTCCAATACCACTCCACAGAGCAGCAACCAAAGGGCCACGAAAATGCACTACAAGGAGGCACCTTTCTCTTCAAAGAAAGCTTCTTGGAGCCTCCACACTCAAGACAAAGGTTTCAACCTCACAACTCAGAAAACTCAGCACCTTAACCTCCCCAACTGACTCTCTAACTCAGAAACAATCTTCTCAACACCCTCCCAATGCTACACACAAGTGTTTACAAGGAAAAAGAGAAGGAAAATCAAGAGAAAGGTGGAAGCTTGGTCCCAAAATGATGAAGAATGGCAATGAAACAGTGCCAAGCACTCAGCCACCCAAGGAGTCACGTAGGAAAACTGATTTGCCTAGGGTTTTGGGCCAAGCAAGGGTATTTATAGCGATTTACAACTTAAACACACAGTATTAACTTTAATTGCTACGCTTATCATTTTAATCCCAAACTCAGGATTCTTAACCTACTCAATTTTACAAGAATTATCATATTTTTCTTATATTTTTCGGAGCACCTTTTCGATACGCGCTTTTCATAGCCAGTACCAGTTTCTGGCACCAGTTAGAACAAATTTTAACTTGAAACTCGTTTTACAAGTCCTACATATTATTCTAGTAATATTCATGCACTTATTATAATTTTCCGGGATACTTTTTTGGTACGCATTTATACCGACTAGAAGAACCGGTATCTGCACTTTTCGTCAAAAAAGCGACTTTCAACACAATAACCACTTTCTATATTTATTTAAGCCTCATAATAATTATTAGGGTCAATTATAGAATTATTTCCTAATTTCACATAATTAATTAATTAACTTCCTTAATTAACGGTGCGAGTTCTTATACGATGGGTGTAGGTGGTGGCGATGGCATCGTCGTGGTGGTGGTCGTGATGATGGCGGTGGCATCGTCGTCGTCGTGGTGGTTGTGGTAACGACGACATTGGTGGTACAACGACGGCGACGATGATAGTGACTGTGGTCGTGTCGGGATGATGGTTGTGATGATGATAATGATAGTGGTAAAGAGTGATTGAGAGAAAAAAAGTGTTTCTCATTTTGTGCACGAGAACAAAAAAGAAAAAAAATATTATTCTTTTTTTTCTGTTTTCCAGTACAAAAAATAATCTAGTTCATCCCAGGAACAAAAAAATAAACCGATTTTACCAAATGAGTTTTCTATCCATTTCAGTTCTCGAGAACATAAATTAAAAAAAATTAATTATCATGCACACCCCTAATCAATACGAACAAATTCTGTGCTTTCTTTTCCATTAATTTCTCTTTAAAAATTGACACCTTTACCTCTATTTGCTAACATTTTAGCAAATTATCAATTAATACTTATCTATAATAGCTACAGGATTTATTTATTTATTTATTTTATTTTTTATTTTTGGATACAGCATCAGGATTCATTTTAAGAGTAAGGAAAATTTGATGAAACAAAATAGGAATCTATAACATCCCAAACCAAGTCTTCTTATTATTGCAAGGTTCAATGGCGAAATAAAATATCCATGATTGGTACAAAGTTATATTTATAACTTTTTTTTTACAACCTCTTACAACTATATCTTAATACCGTTGATTTCCGTCAATCAATGGTTATCATTTATTGTGAATTAATAATTAATTAATGAATTTAATTTGCGAAAATTATAACCGTTGATTGGCAGAAATCAAACGGTATAAAGATATGGTCGTAAGAGATTGTCAAAAAAAAAAATTGTAAAATAACATTCCTCTGATACAAATATATTAATTACAAGTCAAACATAAGATACTAGTAATGATGCCCACAACAAATTTTAGAAGTGACCGTGGCCTGAACCATTGAACGGAGGAAAAGGAAAACCACCATTCTCATCACTTGGATTGTATAGATATGGATCACTTCCACCAACATTCTCATAACCACTTCCACCAAATGAAAGAGCATGACTGTTACTTCGACCTGCATGAGTAAGGTTAAGTCATTGCCAATGATTTGTTGGAAGAAAAAGTAAAAGAAGATTAATTACCAATAATACCATTTGGATCATCAAGAAAAGGGTTGGTTCCATAGGCTTCGTCGTTGGCACCGAAGGGAACTTCAGATATGTTACTCCCACTTGCATTAGTAGGATATGAATTGCCTCCACTGATCATTTGGTCTGAGGGAGACAAAGATACAAGAAAAACATTTCCACATAAAATTATAATAAATTAATAAAATCCTTTGACATCGTTAATTAAAACTAAGGCAATATTAATCAGAAGAGAATTAGAGCACATACCATGAGAAGCAACCTCTGCATGCATGATTGAAAGTCCATTTTTTAATTTATTTTCCAGTTCCTCGAAATATGGCACCATTTCATTGTTTTGTTCGATACTAAGGTCTCGCATATTCTTTTTCTTCAAAAGACCCTTTAGTTCTTTCTCCCGTGCTTTTGCAACATAAGTTTGATCTTGAAGTGAATCATTTTTAAGATTCAGTTCATCTATATCCAAATTATTGTGATCCTCCTCAAGTTTCTGATAAGTGCCACCTTCTGAAGAGTGTTCTTCATCTGAACTAGACCTTGTCATGGACTCAAAAGAAGGATCCCCATAACTAAACGATTTTCCTGTCGGCGAAAACATGAGTATATCAATGTTTGCTCCAGAGAGTGTTTTCAATTCTGTGGCCTTTTTGTGAATGCCAGTTTTTCGTTTGGTGAAAGTGACCAAAAGATCTTTTTCACTCTCAATTTTCTTAATTTCTCGCTTCTGTTTTCCTTTTGTTTTTTTACCCTCCATTCTAACGAAGATTATACTAAGAGATGAGTAAGGAAGCGTATACACCTGCAGTAATCTTAAGAAGTTTTTATAGACTAAAAAACTTGAGTTAATTTACAAAAAAAAAAAAAAAAAAAAACTTGAGTTATTTAATGCATACACATTGTACTTAAACGTGTCGTTCTTAGATTTATTTTGGTTCATTAATACTTTTATGAGTAAATATTTTGGGTTCCTAACAAAAAACATGGTCCTCACTTTAGTCCCTTACAAAAATAAATTAGTCCGTTAGTTCCTAATAAATTCAAAGTGGACCCATTTTAGTCCTTTTGAGGGACTAATATGGATCATTTTTGAATTTATGAGAGACCACGATTTCAACGAAATAGGTCCACTTTGAATTTGTTAGGGACTAACTGACTAATTTATTTTTGTAAGGGACTAAAATGTTGACCGTATTTTGTGTTAGGGACCAAAAAAGGTATTTACTCTACTTTTATACTTTTAAAGTAAAATAAATTCAGAATTAAATTTTAATTCATGGGTATGAATTATCTCATTAATTGAAGAATCTGATCAGATATCTCACAATTGTCATAATATTTAAAAAAAGTTACAATTACATTTGATCCTATGTAAGAAAAATAAAAATTAATAATTAAAATTCTTTAATGATATATGACTTTTAACATTTTGCCTTAAATTTTCAATAAATTTTTTTTCTTAAGAAAATTTAATGATTTATTAATGAGTCAGTCATATCGCCTTTGCAAGATTTCAAATGAGATTATATATCAAAAAAAGAAAATTTATTTATTATCCATGCTTTAAATGATATTGAGAAATCTAAAAGTATCATGATTATTTTATACTAGTATAAGTTACACTCTTAAAATTATCTGTTGGTTCTATTTTTATGTAATGATTCTGATTTATTAAATATGTGAGCCATTATATGTAAGTAAATTAATTACCAATATTTAATATAAGACTCCTTATACTTAATACCGGTGTAAGAATAATATGATCCAATCAAAAAAATTATTAATTAACATTCTCTAAGTCAAACCATATTGAGAAATGATACATGGCTTTTTACATTTTGCCTTGGATTTTAAATAATTTTATTTCTCTAGAATATTTAATGCTTTCGTGAGCCAGTAATTAATGATAACTCAAAATCTGTTGATTACGTACATTTAAGGTAAGACATTATTAATAAAGCCTATTGCAAGCTTTAAATGAGATTATATAAATAAATAAAAAATTGAACTCATTATTCTATTACCTAATGTGTTTGGATTTTCTTCTTTAATTTTTAAAATTTCCTTTTTCGTTTCGCTTTGTTTAGTAAATAAATCTCCATTTTGGTTTTTTATTTTTTAAATAAAGTTTCTAGCATATTCTTTAATAAATATTTCTTTGCACATCATTTACCTATTTTGTAATGAAAATATTTTTTGTATTTGTTGAACGTACCTGAAATGCATTAAATACACATCACACCTGCCATGTAAGTTAATCACAGTAAAAATTACGATAAATAAAATGTAAATAAATTATTTGATATCAAATAAATATATAAGTCCTTTTTAATATATTATTTTTAAAAAAATTTGGCATGCTTGAAAGTTTATTCAAATATTTACCTTGTAATAATTGTTTTATGTTAATAGACCTACTTTAAATATGATAACGGCCGGACTTAAATTTTTATTTAACTCAGTATATAAAAAAAAGTATTTGCTAACGTCAAATCATAAATTAGTGCAACGTTTAATATATCTTCTCGAGCCATATTTCTCGTCCCATAGCCACAATTTTCATAAATTCTATCAAAACCTATTAAAAATAATTCTTTAGGAGAATTTTTTGATGGGGTTAATTAGCCTTCTCCTTCTCCACTTTCACTTACTAAAGTGAATAAGGTAGAACTAAGAAAAGCTATAAAAATTTGCACACAAAAGGTTTTTACAATTTTATTATGAGTAAATATGTAACTTATTTTTTAAAATTATTATTTAGTTACAGTTTAATTTCTAAGTTTGTTCATTGGGTTATATTTATCTCATTTAATATGAGATAAACCAAATTCTTACATACACATAACAAAGTTTGATCTCATCTCTATTTTTTCTCTCTGATTATTTGTGGGTCTTTCTTGTAATTTATTTTTACTAACATAAGATAACTCATCTCCAACAACATAAGCAAAACATTTCCCTTGTTCATTTGTATGTTTTAGCTATTAAATTTAGGGAAAAACATCTATCCTTTTAAAGGATATAAGTTTATATCATTTTAGATCATAACCGTTGATTTCCGTCCATCAACGGTTATAATCTATTGGGCCAAACTTAATGGGCCAAATTTATTATTAATTAATTAATAATTTTAATCCAATAAATTATAACCGTTGATGGATGAAAATCAACGGTTCGGATCTAAAATGATATAAACTTATATCCTTTAAAAGAATTCCCTTAAATTTATAAAAAATATTTTCTTATGTTATAGGAATTTGCTTATCTCTTGCTTTCCTCTTTTTGATTTTCACATTATTTCTTTTTCTTTTTTTAAATCCGGTGGATCCCTTTTTTTTGTCTCAACAGGAAAATTATTTTCTCTTCGACTGCTAGAGAAAAATAAGACCCTTAAATTTATAAATGAGGAAGATTATATTTACAAATTTTTTGTTTACAAATTCTTACAAACTACACTATGTCTGACTAGTCATACACTAATCAAGAGTAGGGGTGTTCGCGTTCTGGATTAGATCAGTTTTGGAAGCAAAAATCATATGATCCATTACCTTTGGTTTGATCATATAACCATCCATTCGGTTTGGATTTTTTCAAATCCGATCTGATCACATCCAATTTTTTTCGGTTTGGATTGGATCGGTTTTCAGTTTTGTGAAAAATCTAAAATTTATTTCATGATTATTGTGCAAATAACATCTTTTGTGTATATTGGCTTTGTAAATTTTTTTTTTTTGAAATACAAAAGAATTAGTAAACTATAATATTGTTTTTGTTTTTTGCAATGAGATATGAAGCTCTACAAAGATAAAATTTTATTGATGAGATGTGACTAGATTTTTTCTTGGGTTTAATTTCTATCCAATGGGTCTTGGATTTAGAAATTTTTGGGCTATGATTGGGGAAACACCCAAGTAGGTAGAGGGGAATTAATATATTGGATCGGTTTTCATCAATCAATCCAAAAACCGATATAATCCAATTAAAATTTGCGATTTTTTTTCAGTTTTTCGGTTTTCGGTTTATTCGGTTATCGATTTTTCGGTTCGGTTACCGCGATTTGAATCGGTTTGGATTGGTTGATGAACACCCCTAATCATGAGTGTATGACCGGTCATAATTAGTGTAATTTGTAAACAAAATTTGTAAACGCCCCTTATATATATGCTCACAAAATTATACTCTCTAATAAAAGAGTTAAGTATTGTTGTCGTTGAATTCACTTTAAAATTTTAATGATTTTTTTTTTGTATAAAGGGGAAAAGAAAAAACAACTACTCACTAACTATAATACTCCTGGGCCACGCAGTGCCCATGGAGTCCTCCAATACTAAGTCAAAGCACTCAAGAGGAACATGGTCAAACCAAAGGGTATTCCAATCAGCATCAAACCTATTTGTAGCCAACCAGTTAGCTACTTGGTTCCCTTCTCTGTATATACGACATAGATCCACTCTCCATTGTTTAGCCATGAGTATCCTAATCCTGTTCACCAGAGGAAAACAAGGGAGGGAACTGACACATCCCTCTTTCACAATCTGGATTGCCACCATGGAATCTCGTTCTAGGACAATTTGCCTCCTTCCATTCTCCCAGGCCCATTCCAGTCCTATAATAAAGCCCCAGAGTTCAGCCATTAAGGTTGTGCCATAACTCAACTTTCTATGGAATCCTGTAATCCAACTACTCAGCTCATCACGCACAACACCTCCACAAGCTATTTTTGAACCATTGCCTGCAAAGTATCCATCTGTGTTAATTTTTGTCCAGCCAACTGGGGGTGACGTCCAAACTATCAACATATCCTCATAGCCCCTCGAAGCTAAACCAGGAACTGCTAGCATATCGTTTGCCACTTGAATATTGGAGACAAAGAGAGAGGCTTGAACAAAGATATCTTGTGGGCTGACAGAAATATCATTAAAAACCAGATTATTTCTATCCTTCCACATTAACCAACATATCACCCCAAACTTCAGCCTCCAAACTGCATTTTTACTGCTACTGTTTAAGTTACTGCCAAACCAGCTACCCATGTCGCCGTTTAGGAAAGCTCCTAACTCCTTGTTCTCTACCCATAATTTCCACACCTCCCTGGACTAGTAGCAATTTCTGAAGACATGATCATTATCTTCCATTGGATATTGACATCTGGGGCAGGACCCACTCCCAGCCATATGCCTTCGAAATCTTTCTGAATTGTTCAGCAACTTGTTCCCAAATAATAGCCAGAGGAAAAATTTTACTTTATGAGGGCCCTCCCATTTCCACACAAGACTTCATTCTTTGAGAATGGGATTAGCACACTGACCTGATAGGACCTTGTAAGCTGAACTGATGGTAAACTCCCCAGAATTCGAATGACTCCAAAAAACCTTGTCCTTTTCATCAGAGCTAGTTGGGGGGCAAATACACTCCAATAAATCCAAGGCCTCTCTTGATAGGTACTGATTCAACTTACCCCAGTCCTAATTTCCTTCTATTACACAGTCTGCCACTTTTCATTTTTTTATATCATCAGGAATGCTAGTTACAGCAGAATCAATAAGCCTGCAACCAGACAGAATCCATCTACCAAACCAGAAGGCTGTATCTGCACCATTCCCCAGGATAATTCGAGAACCCTCTAGCACATACCCCCAAACCTTCTGTATCCCTTTCCAGATATTAGAACCACTACTGACACTTCTCAGCTGACCAGTAGGATAGGTGTCCACTTTGTATTTGCTTCTTAACACCTGCACCCAGAGTTCATCTCTA